AAGAACGGTTGCAGGAAATGGGTATGGCCAGTCAAGAGAAAAGGATTAGGGTTGACATGATAGCAATATTCCAGTATTTGAGGGGCTGCCACAAAGAGGAGGGGATCAATTTATTTTCCAAAGCCCCAGAAGGCGAGACAAGAAACAATGGGTGGAAACTAATCAAGGAGATATGTGCGTCTTATGGTCAGGTGCGTCTGATAGAGCGAAAAATACGGTAATCCTTCACATAAGCAGAAATTTTAGCCATTTCTGCTAAATTTGAAACTTTAAATACCCAATCTTCTATAGTGGGCAAACGTTCCGTTTTCCAACATTGAGCTACTAGTAATCTTGCAGCAGTTATCAAATTCAACATCAAATCCATTTCTTTTTTATCCAGATCTTCCATAATACCCAACAAAAATAACTGCGGCTTAAACTTTATCTTTTTCTTGAAAATATTTTGAATATTCCACCATATCTTTATCCAAAATGCTTTTACCCCCCTACAAGTCCACCACATATGAAAATAAGTTGCATCTAAATTTCCACATCTCCAACACTCGGGTTGTGAATTAGGATACATACAGGACAATTTTTGAGGGTCCAAATGCCACCTATAAAACATTTTGTAAAAATTTTCTCTTAAATTCTGGGCTTGAGTAAATTTTACATTCCTAATCCAAATTGTCTCCCAAGTTTCCAATAGAATCGGTTCTTGTATATTTTGAGCCCATTTTATCATACAATCCTTCACCAATTCTGTTTCCGAATCCAATTCAACCAATACACCATAAATTCTTTTTATGTGAGCTTGAGATTGATCTCTAATCTGTTTGATCAAATTTACATCCTGTGCTGTAATACCAACTTTTTGATCCAAACGCCACCTCATTGACAATTGGTTATAATAAAACCAAGAATATTCAATATTTTCTTGTTTCAAATCTACTAAAGATTTAAGTTGCCAATCTCGTCCTACCGGCAAAAGTAATTCCTTATAAGAAACTTTATCCAAATTAACTCCCCTGGATATCCCCTCTATCATCTGTCCTGGACTTGCCCAAATAGGAATCTTATAATTTAATCTATAATAATATTTCCTCCAAACTCGAAGTAAAGCACTTCTTAAAATATGAGCCTTAAAATTTCTGTCTACTTTTTTGTCATAAATTAAATATGCCTGCCAACCAAATAACAAGTCCCATCCTTCAAGAGAAAGTATATTTCTGTTTGTCAAGTTTAACCAATCACTAATCCATGTCAAAACCACCGCATCATAATATAATTTTAAGTTGGGGACTTTAAGTCCTCCTCGTTCTCTTATATCCTGCATAATCTTGAACCTAACTCTTGGTTTCTTGCCTGCCCAAATAAACTTGTTAATACCCTTTTGCCATCCCTCCAAATTGGCATCTTTTTTTAAAATGGGAATCATTTGAAACAAGAAAAGAAATTTAGGAAGAACATTCATTTTTACTGCTGAAATTCTTCCCAACAGAGATAATTGCAATTTTTTCCAATCATTTAAATCCCTTTGCACCTTAACCCATAAAGCTTCATAGTTATTCTTATACAATTTTGCATTAGAAGCTGTAATATAAACCCCCAAATATTTTATCTTTTTAACCATTTCAAAACCTGTAAGTGTAACTAACATATCTTTATCATCCTTAGACATATTTTTCGGTAATACCTTAGTCTTATTACAGTTAACCTTAAAACCAGAAACTTTCCCATATTGTGCAATAATTTCAACCACATCAGTTACCGAATCTATCGGCTGAGTTAATGTTTATTTATTTATTTATTTATTTATTTATTTTTTAGATTTATATCCCGCCCTTCTCCTTGCGGACTCAGGGCGGCTAACAACCGGATAAAAATACAAAAATATCAAACTACAAATTTAAAAGTTAGTTAAAAGGGAAATATTAATAATTGGTCTAATTAAAATTATAATTAAAACCCCCTCTAAAAGTTTCCCCTAGGCCAGTCCCGCAAGCTGGAATAACCATGTCTTAAGGGCGCGGCGGAAGGAAGGGAGATCAGGGATCACCCTGATCTCTGGGGGTAGTTCATTCCAGAGGGTGGGAGCTCCCACAGAGAA